ACCATTGGTCTGAACTCCCGCAACCCAGAGCACGTCAAGTGATGGGGCATACAACAGACAGTCTGCTCCCACAGGGGGCTGTCCAGCAGGACTTGCATTTGCGACTGGTGTAATTGGGTTCTGTTTCCTGGTCCTGCCATCATCGAGTACGTGTGTGCTTTCTCCCCCTTCCCCACACATGACTCTGTGTCTGTGTGTGTGTATACAACGTGACCTTTCTCTCTTCCCCGCCCCCAGGACATTACACTCTGCGTGTGTGCATCATGCATCTCTCTCCCCCCCCTCGGACATTACACTTTGACGGACATGGTTGAATTTGTAGTAGAAATGGGACCAAAGGTTCCCATTGGGTTGGGTCACAGACTCAAACGCTGCAGGAGGGACCGTTCCCAGATTGTTACTGGAACCCATATCGGTGAGCCCTGGAGCTGAAAGTGAGTAGAGCGGGGTAATGGGCAGTGTTCCCTCTAATTTTTGACAGTCCGTGTGCGCAAAAAATTTCTTCTGTGTAAATTGTTGTGCGCGCGGTGTTTTGCCGTGTGCGCAGGGTTTAGGATCTGTGTGCACACGCGCCCAGCTTAGAGGGAACAGTGGCAATGGGTCTTCTTGGGGCACACAGCAGCACCCACGTCTGTTTGGCTGGTGGTCAGTTTCCCTACCTCACTCCTGCAGGGACATCGCTCCCCCTCGGCCCCACATCCTGCCCCAGGCTGTTTCCCAGCTGAAGCAACAGCAAAGCTGAGGCTGAAAGGGCAGCAGGAAGGAACGTGCCTGGGAGAAGGGAGAGGTGGGCCCACGTGTTCAGTGCTCTCAGCCCATCCACACATCCCCATGGGCAGGCAGAACCCCTGCGGTTATTGTCAAGGGTCTTTTCCCAGAATTCTCCCCGGTCCTTACCAGAGATGATGGAGGCAATGGAGATCTCAGAGCAGGCTCCGTGGCCATCCCCTGACCAAAAGCCTCTCTTGGTGGCGTCATTTATATAGTCCGGGTCGGTCTCCCAATCATCGGCTTCATCTTCACAGGAAGGAAGGAGCCCAGACCTGTCTATTCTTCCGTGGTGCCCTCCTCTCCTGCAGGCATGAGGGGATGCGCCCCATGCTGGCCCAGCCTGGGCCATGTCTGGGGGCTGGGCCAGATCTCTCTGACAGTGCGTGCTGAAAGGTGGAGGCCTGCTGGCCCGGAGATCCTGCGCTACGGGATGTCTCCGGGGGCCGCCAGCTCCGCGGGCTATGGAGTCTCCCCACTGTGATGTCAGCAGAATGCCCCCATGCTCTGGTGGTTCCCCCGTCCTTCCGAGAATCTGCCTGCAAAGCATTCTGGGTGGTGAGTGCCAGCTGCCCTGCCTAAAGGTGATGGGTGCTGTGAGCCGTCAGTACCTCGGGGAATTTGGCTCAGGAAGGCTTAGCAGAGTCAGGCCGGCTCAGCGTCTGGATGGGAGACCACCAGAAAAACCAAGGGGGCTGAAGGACTTAATGGCTACTCTCCTGAGATGGTGCTGAGCCCAGTGCTGGACTGCAGGGGAGGGTGTGGATGATTTTAGGGCGGGAGGCTCCCTCGCCTTGCAGTCAGTGCTGACCCCAATGCCCCAGCACAGCGCTTGGGGTGCTCAGTAGGAGGCGCTCTCCCCAATGAATTTGCACTGATCCTAGTGCCCCAGTGTGCGGCTGGCGTTGGCGGTTCAGTGTGGAATTCCCATTGGTACAACACTTTGAACACGTGAATTGCTGTCAGTGTTAATAAATAAGGAGAGGTGAGGCCACGTTCCAACTCCATTCTAGCTCTCCCTAGGTTTGCAGCCAGGATGTGCTCTGTGTCCCGAGCTGCTGGGGAGCGTTACTGGGTGCTGGCAAACAGACTGTGCATAAAGAGCAGGGAGAAGCAACGTGGAAACAGCCCTACCTGGCCAGGTGTAACACAGAGGAGAGTGTGTGCATGTGTGTGTGTGTGCACATGTGTTTCAGGGGGGTAATTCTCCATCGAGAACAAGTCTGAAACTGAAGCAGGACAAAATGTCACTGTGAGGATCTTTAGGGCAGGGGAGAGAGCAGGCAGGGAGGGTGTGGAGAGCCCATCCTTGGGCGTGGGGTTACTCAAGGCTGGAGTGGGGGGACGGACACTGTGGCAAGCTGCTGATGGAACCGCTGTGCAGGAGAGAGAACCTGCTCCCAGGCTCCATTTGCAGACAATGCAGACTCCCCTGGATTGCACTGGGTGTTGGAGCCAGCCCTCACTACCCGCAGAGGTGCTCTCCAAGCTGAGCATCTGTGACTAGTCAGGATGAAAATAAGCCGATGTAAGCCTTGGTTGGAAAAGGCAGGATCTGTGATGCAGAGACTCCAGGAGAAGCTGGGTTTTTGCTCTATCCGCGGCTGCCTTTTCGGAGCTAGAACTGGAAACTGCCTCGGGGGGACACATCCAGGAGACATGGCTATTCCCCAAGTCCCAACTAAGTTCATGGGACCCTAAGGAGAACTAACAGTTGCTACACCTCCTGGCTATTCACTTGTGTGTTTCAGATCTGAAGCCCCTCCATGGCTGGAGTCAGACAGTGCAGAGAACTATTGATGTTATTCTTCAATCCACCTAATATCCAAAACCGAGAACTGCTGCTCTCTGGCACATTTACTGCATAGGGAGTTGTGCTGAAAGACGCTGGGGGGTCCTAGGGGCTCTATGGAGTGTGTTTGCTAATGGGTTTTACAAAGCCGTGTTCCTAGAAATACTCGCAGGAAAGTAAAGGGGGGACGTCAATGGCAGCAGCTCTTTTGGTTTGGACTGAACCTTCCCCTGGAGCTCTCACAACAGCCATGGTCGCACCTGTCCAATGCATCAGCACCAGCTGTCCTCGCCCTTCCTGATCTGCCTTGGCTAAGCTGCTGCCCCATCCTCTGACTCTCCCGGCTTTTCCTTTCTGCCCTTTCCCTTCTTGTCTCCTTTCCTCTGTCTGCTTCTGGGTTTGCTCCCCCTCCTGCCTCTTCCCCGTTCCCTGTCCAGCTCTCTCCTCCTCCCCAGCTCCAGCGCGGCTCCTAGTTGTTCTTCTCGGCTGTGTTTCTACCAGTGATCACAGCATGTCTCTGGCTGGCCGTCCTGCCCCACTACCTCCACTTTGGGCCCCCCTTCCCCCTTGCCTGCTAGTCTGAGCCCTCCCCAGCTGTCTGGGCTTTCTTCTTCCTTCCATCCCTCACCCAGGGACTGGTTTCCCTACCCCCCTGCAGTGGCGGTTTCTCTCGTACTCCCTGTGTGAGGTCATGAACGCTGCAGGGAGCAGCATTATGTAGCCCCAACTGTGGGGGGAAAGTAGGAGAATATAGGTCAGGATCCAGCATGAGCAACAGTCATGCCCTTCCCTTGGGCACCCCCCACCAGTGGGAATCTCTTTGCTAGGGCATGCAAGCCAGGGGGAAACTGGCTAGGCAAGGGCCATTGGCTGAAGCAAAAGATATGTGGCCAGCACCCACCACTAGGGCTCTGGAGAGGAGCATTTCTGGGAAAGGGAAGAGTAAAAAAGTCAATGACATTTTACATGAATTTATCTGGGTATCAAAGGGGTGGAAATGTACCATGGTTTGTGAATAGGATTTTTCTTTTTCTTTTACTGAAGTAGCAACAATTAACCTACAGCCATCAATGCAACACAAAGTAAAAACTAGAGATACTCTTGCAAGGGAGAAAAATCAACCCTCCAGGCAGACTGAAGACTGAAACGAAGGCTGTGGAAATGTGGGAAGAAAACATTGCACTGAAAGGAGCAAAGCTCTTGGTCTAACTCCATGAGGGCCTGGGGTCAGGGAAAGGAGAGAATGTGCCGGGAACGGGGACAGCTGGTGCCTCGTGCTAGGATCCAGTGGATCCCATTAAAAAGCAGATGCTGGCTAGAGTATTTTTTCTGAGACTGGTCCAGTCCCACTTATATGAGGGGAATGTCCAGGTTGGTGAGATCACTCAGGCCTCCTGCTGTGGTGTGAGCCGTGTTCTCCATTCGAAGGGCTCCCATTGGAGTCACTTGGAGCAGGATTGGGCCCTGGGTATAAGTGTAAATATGGGGGGTAGTGACATCCGTCAATGGCACCAACTCTACATAGGCAGGCGGCATTCGAATGGCAGCCGGAGCCTGAGCTGAGGGCTATAGGGGCCCTGGCCCAGATGGCCTGGAAAACCCCGCTGGCCCTTTATGAAGGCAGGGCGGCCTGGGACCCTTGATGCAGGTGGGTCAGGACTCTGAGCTGGGTGGATCAGGAAACCCAGCTGGAGACGTGATGTGAAGGAGACGGGGCCCCTGCCCAGGCCCCAATGTGGAAGGGATAGGGCCCCCAGCTAGGCCTTGAGACAGGGGGAGATGGGGACACTGTGGAGGCCCCTAGGTGGGTGGGGGGAGATGGGGCCCCCAGCCAGGCCCCAAGGCGGGAGGGAAATTGGGGCCCCGGCCAGGCCCGGGGGGTGGCCGGCCCGGGCGGGGGGAGATGGGGACACTGTGGAGGCCCCTAGGTGGGTGGGGGGAGATGGGGCCCCCAGCCAGGCCCCAAGGCGGGAGGGAAATGGGGGCCCCGGCCAGGCCCGGGGCGGGGGGAGATAGGGCCCCGGCCAGGTTCCGAGGCGGGGGAGATGGGGACATGTGGAGGCCCCAAGATGGGGGTTGGGGGGGATGGGGCCCCCGGCCAAGCTCCAAGGCGGGGGGGGAGATGGGGGCCCCCGGCCAGGCTCCGAGGCGTGGGGGAGATGGGGACACTGTGGAGGCCCCGAGGCGGGGGGGGGAGAGATGGGGCCCCCAGCCAGGCCCCGAGGCTTTTCACTCAGTCGCCCCCAGCCCCGCCCTTTGTCCCTCCTGGCCCCACCCCCTACCGGCGGGGGCGTGGCCGCGCTCCCTTGGCCCCGCCCCCCGGCTTCTCGCCCACACTCGACATGGCGCCGCCGGCGTCTGCCCTGAGCCGCCCAGTTCCGGCGGGAGCTCCGCCCAGAGCGGAAGTGTGGATGGTTGCTATGGCGAGGCGCTGTGGCGACCCGCCCCTACCGGGGAGAGAGCCGGAGAGCGATCCGGCTCCTGCCGACGGCGGCGGGTGAGTGCAGCCGGGAGCGGGAGCGTCCCCGGGGCAGGGGGCAGGGGGCAGGGGGCCTGTGCTTGGGGCGGGGCTGTGGAGGGGGCGGGGGGGCCATTGCGGGGGGGGTGTGGGGGGACGGGGGCCTGTGATGGGGGGCTGTGGAGGGGGCGGGGGGCCTGTGCTTGGGGCGGGGGGCCATTGGGGGGGCTGTGGGGGGGGGGGCCTGTGATGGGGGGCTGTGGCGGTGGCCGGGGGCCTGTGATGGGGGGGCTGTGGAGGGGGCGGGGGGCCTGTGCTTGGGGCGGGGGGGCCATTGCGGGGCGGCTGTGGGGGGACGGGGGCCTGTGATGGGGGGCTGTGGCGGTGGCACGGGGGCCTGTGATGGGGGGGCTGTGGAGGGGGCGGGGGGGCCTGTGCTTGGGGCGGGGGGGCCATTGCGGGGGGGGTTGTGGGGGGACGGGGGCCTGTGATGGGGGGCTGTGGGGGTGGCACGGGGGCCTGTGATGGGGGGGCTGTGGAGGGGGCGGGGGGGCCTGTGCTTGGGGGGCTGTGGCGGGGGGGCCTATCATGGGTCAGTTGGGCTATGGAGGGGGTGGGGGTACCATGGCATGATGGGTATGGAGGGGGTGGGGGTATGATGAGGACAGGGATCTCATGGCAGGGGCCACCATTACCAGTGTCTAAAGCGGGGTAGGCGACCTATGGCACGCGTGTTGAAGGCGGCACGCGAGCTGGTTTTCAGGGGCACTCACACTGCCCAGGTCCTGGCCACTTGTCCGGTGGTCTCTGCTTTTTAATTTCATTTTAAATGAAGCTTCTTAAACATTTTAAAAACCTTATTTACTTTACATACAACAATCGTTCAGTTATATATTATAGACTTGTAGAAAGAGACCTTCTAAAAACGTGAAAATGTATTCCTGGCACGCGAAACCTTAAATTAGAGTGAATAAATGAAGACTCGGCACCCCACTTCTGAAAGGTTGCTGACTCCTGGTCTAAAGTGACACTTGAAATGCTGGTGGCACTGTTATTTCCCTCATTTCACTGTGTCCTGACACTTCTGGCAGGCGGGGTCGGGGGGAGCCCAGTTGGTCTTGATCCGAGTGAGCAAAGAAGAGAATTCCTATAGACTGAAAATGTAGCAGATATTTCTTCTCCCCATTTTTCCATATCTCAGGAACAGCAGGAGAGGGTTTTTGCCCAGCTTGGGAAACTACAGCTGGAGCAGAGAAATGTTCTGCAGGTGAGAACGTGGGGAAGGGAGGGTGATGGCTATTCATGTATTATTTCATGTTTATGTTCTGGTGGCCCCAGTCAGGATCTGGGTGCTGTGTAAACACGTAAGTGACGTAGTCCTTGTCCCAGGGAGCTTATAATCTAATAGGATGTCATACAAAACGTAATGGACAGGCAACACGGAAGATAGACACAGAATGTGGTTAGTTGTTAATTTTCCCAGCTCCATTCTTCTGTTCAGGTGCTTCACCCAACTTGCTTTAGCAAGCTTAGTAACCGTGCCCTACTTCCACTCTGCCCATCATATTCTATTTGAATTCCACCACTTTTGTGTCATTTCAATGCCTTTTGCAATACTTTTCTTGCACTTCCCTCCCAGGGTCCTTTCCTTTCCTGATTAGAATGCAAGGCCCCCCAGCCATGTTTTTCCAGTTCAATCCAGTTAGTTGTTCTGGTCATAGTGGGGCCTGTGAAGGCCTGTTCCCTTCCTGCTGCATTGCCAATGCCTCTGTGGAACATAGGAATTGCCAGACTGGATCAGATTGCTGGTCCATCTAGCCCAGTATCTTGTCTCTCAAAGTGGCCAACACCAGATGCTACAGAGGAAGGTTTAAGAAGTCCCAGAGTAAGCAGATATGGGTTAATCTGCTCCTTGTGAAGGTCTTATCCAAATCACTAATAGTTAGAGATTAGTTTAAGTCCCAAAGAAGGAGGTTTAATATACCTTCCAAAATGCTTGTTAACGAGAATATCCAGGGTTATAATATTGAATACTATCCAATAAACGTCCAGCCTTTTTTGAACCTTGTGAAGTTCTTGGCTTCAGTGACATAATTTCACGAGTTCCACGTCTAATTACATGTTGTGTATAAAAATATTTCCTTTTGTCAGTTAGAATTTGCCACCTTTTAACTTAATTGAGTGTGCCCTGTTCTTGTGTTAGAAAACAGGGAGGGAGAAGAGAGTTCTTGATCTGTGTTCTCTAGGCCATTCATTAGTTTGTATACTTTTATCATGTTCTTATTTGCCTGGTTGGGAATCCATGGAAATGTGGCTGGCTTGGTCTCTCTACCCCACTGCTTCTCCTCCTCCTCTAATATCCATCTTCTCAGAGTGGGGACTGTACCTTTCTCTATCTTCTGAACCAGGACAGGTGCATTGTTAGTCAGTGTTAGTGACTAACAGCTTGATGTACATAACCTGAATTTACTTAGTACAAAGTGCATCATATTTATATGGCACACGTTGGAGAACAAGATTTTCCCTAGGTGCAGAGCAATACTAAGGGTTTGTCTACACGCAGTTTTTTTGTACTCTCTAGTAACTGATGTAGTTAAATCAATTCAACCTCCTAGTGTAGATGCAGTTATACAGGCATAGATGTAAATTACAGAAATAAGCAATAGTGATATAAACACCTCTATGCCGGAATGATCCTCATGTCCATGGTAGGGGGTTACACCATTAAATTGGTACAAAACCCCAGTGCTACTGCTCTCCTCCAGTCCTGTGCATCCTGCTTCTGCTGATCCTATTAATTAGCTGATGTCTGGAAGCTCATTTGAGGCTGGAAAGAGCAATGTAAGTGCTAAGTACTATTAAGTATTATGATGCTAATGGGATTCACATGCATACATCGGCATGTGTGATCAGCTTCCTTCTCCTGGGTGTAGCATAGCCCTGAAATAGGTGGCTCACCAGGAAATGTGTTAATGAGCGACAAAGTAGACTGCAAAATGCTAAAACCAGTTTTCTTCATAAAACTGGATCTGTATAGCATTTGGCCTAGTTCTGGAGAACAGCAAAATAATCCCCGAATTTTCACCCTTTGTTGTTCTCCATGTTGTTCTGCTCTGGAGGCTGTTTGTTAATTTTTCTAGCACATATTGCCATGGCAATGAGGCTTGTGGTAAGTACTCGAGCTCTCTGAGAAATCACTAAACTGGTTCTCGTCAGTGCATGACACGTCAGGTCCATGGCCAGTGAGGATTATGGGCTGGACTATATTTACTATCACTTCGGTGGCATATAGATTGCAGTGCAAAATGTGTTAACCTAAGTAACTGGATTACCTCTGTTTTAAACTCCACAGAGCTTTTTAAAAAGGATTTTACAGCTATGAATTTCCTCCTCACCCTGAAATTTCTGGTTCTTTGCGAGAGAGTTTCTGATAACATTTTTGACATTTATTAGAACTGCCACTCCCTGGGCTTTGAACTTTAAAAGCCCGGGTTGCATGTCTCTATTTGTGTCCCATCAAATAATGCTTTTCTTCAATTGAGGAATGTTATCTTGTGGATAAAGGCAGACGACTTGGAGTCAGAGTTGAGTTCTCATAGGGTCATAGACTGTAAGGTCAGAAGGGACCATCATGATCATCTAGTCCAGAGGTTCTCAAACTGGGGGTTGTGAGGTTATTACATGGGGGGTCGTGAGCTGTCACCCTCCACCCCCAAACCCCACTTTGCCTCCAGCATTTATAATAGTGCTAAATATAAAAAAAAAAGTGTTTTACATTTATAAGGAAGGGGGTCGCACTCAGAGGCTTGCTGTGTGAAAGGGGTCATCAGTCCAAAAGTTTGAGAACCACTGATCTAGTCTGACCTCCTGCACACTGCAGGCCACAGAACCTCACCCACCCATTCCTGGAATAGACCCCTAACCTCTGGCTGAGTTCCTGAAGTCCTCAAATCATGACTGAAAGACTTCAAGTTACAGAGAATCCACCATTTACACTAGTTTAAACCTGCAAGTGACCTGCGCCCCATGCTGCAGAAGAAGGCGAAACCCTCCCAGGGTCTCTGCCAATCTTACCTGGGCAAAAATTCTTTCCCGACCCCAAATATGGTGATCAATTAGACCCTGAGCATGTGGGCAAGATCCATCAGCCCGACACCTGGGAAAGAATTCTCTGTAATAACTCAGAGCCCTCCCCAGCTAGTGTCCCATCCCCGGCCATTGCAAATATTTGCTGCTAGCAGTCGCAGATTAGCTACGTGCTATTGTACGCAGTCTCATCACAACACGCCCTCCATAAACTTATCAAGCTCAGCCTTGAAGCCAGTTAGGTTCTTTTCCTGACTCCACAACATATTGCCTCTGGGAACTTGGACAAGTCCCTTGATTTTTACATGTTTGTGTCCTCTTCTGTAAAATACTTGCCTCCCCGGCATGTTGTGCCAATGAATGTTTGGAAAGCAATTGGGGGCGTAACATTCTATATAATTACGCTCAAGTGCTGGTTGGGTTTGGTAGGATTGCTCAATGTGGGGGCTGTTATTGTTCATCTGGTCAGCACTAAGGCAGTCCCAAAGCGTGATGTACTTGTTGCACAATGGTACTCTTACGCTTGGATGAATAAGGACTGGCTTCACAGAAAGCTGTAGTACGAGGATATTAGATTTCAGTAAATCATGGGAAATTACGACATGTATGACCAAATTCTGCTTCCGCTCCTCACTGCGGGAGTGACAGAGTTATAAGGGTGATAGTGGGGAACAAGGAGAAATGAGCTTACAGTGCGCTAAGCTTACTAAAAGTCCAGTGTGACGTATGAAATGCATATGGAGATAACTACCCCTTTCTCAGGAGCTCTGGTGTGACCAGACCTGGAATATTTAATGCACTGTGGGAACCATGTTACCAGAAAGATGCTGATCAATTAGACGGAGTTCAGGGGAGAGCAACAACAATGATCAGAGGCTGCAAGGTTAGATGGGGGAGGAGAATAAGCAAATTAAGCATGTATCAGAGGGAGCAATTATTCAGAGTGATACAGGGGTGGAGGGGCAGGTGGTTAGAAGTATTAGTAAGAGAGAGGAAGGAAGTGAGAGAGAAAATTTAGGCTCAATCTCGATTAAAAACTTCCCAGCAGTCAGACCTGTGCATCTCAGTAGGGTCTGAGCTCCAAACCCTACTGCTTTGCGAGGTCTTGCTAACACCCACCCTGACCCAGGGCTCGGCTGGTCTGTAGTGTCAGAGCAGCTGCATTCTGCTCCATTTCATGCATTATTAGGCACCACGCTCAAGTGCCAGACAAGTTGTCATTTGTATTCCTCAGCTGGGCAAATTTGGGAAGCTTCTTTGTGGAAGGGCCTCTGCTTGCTTGGGAGGTGTATGGCTGAGACTTTACCAATGGTAACAACCTGCAGTTCCCATCCTTAGGAACATACTTTTGTGGAAGCGCCCCGACATAAATCTGCCTTTGGCCACGTTTTTCCCACGTGAGTGCTTAAAGCAGGGCACCTAACTAGATTGTTCTGCTTTTCAAAAGTGCTGAGCACCCACACAGCAGTGGCTTAAGGAGAAGCTGCAGGAGCTCAGCACTCCTGGGGGGACATGACTGTAGGGCCCTTTGTTTGAAAACTGTGGCCATTATGCACTACATCTATCTTAAATCTTAAATAGCCCCAGTCCTCCTTTCTCCTGCTATGGTGCGCAATAACCGTGCCATCGAGCTAACCATCCTGATGCAGCCAAGCATGACAGTCAGCTATCAGGCCGCATGTTCACTTGCTCTATATGTAAATATTTCATATTATGAAACAGTCCCTCAACTCTCTGGCCTAGTGTTTGGTTGAGTGCCTTCTGTTTCCAGGTAGGATGGCGTTTGTGGTGTCTGAGCTGCCATTTCTCAGTGGAGTTCTTGCCTCACTCTTCTGTCTTTAACCTTGTTTCATTTGTCCACCGGAAAGTGACATCACTGGCAAGTGATGTCAAGTGACTCCCTGAAGCTCCAAGGCAAGGCTAGTGCGCTCCAAGGCATGATTTCTGCTGGTTGGTCTCAAAAACAAAGCCCAAGCAACCTGCGCCGCTGCCAGCTTTCAGAGAGAAAAGCATTAAAAGAAAAGATGAGGTTTCAGAGCAGGACAGAGAAGGGCATCTGCATGGAGGTAAAATATTGTGCTCTATGCTTCCAGTAGACGTTCAAAGGAACGTTCAAAGGAACAGCAGCACAGTTCTCCTTAACCTTGCTCTTTGGTTGTCTGCCTGCATTTGTCCGGGCTG